GCTTGTGTGTCTGTAAATTAATAATATCATAACAACAGAATGAAAAGGAAGAATTTCCCCTCGAGGACAAATGTTATGTTTCTCTGGTGTAACTCTGTATGCAGGCAAACCTGTCACAAGCAGTCTGGAGGCACCTCAATACATTGCGAGAAGCCGTGCTTTGTTGTGAAGACAACTTGGTCCATGAGAATGAAGGCTTGAGGTAAATTCAGGGCAGCCACAGAGCAGCTCTGTCACGTAATCCACCACACAAGCAGCCATCGTTCGTCTACAATAGCGAGCTGAACAGCTTATGATTCTGAGCAGGGCACGGCAGGTCTCTGTGGGCTTCTACTGTCCTCCACAGTCCTCCTGTTCTCTGTCTGGTCATCAGTCCCTGTGGGAGTGTCCAGAGGATCCATCCAGGGGTATAGGCACCATGGGTCCCGTCCTCTCGCTCCTAGCTGTGGGCCAAGGTGGCCCCGGACTCCCCCACTCACGCCTTTCTCCAGTTACCTGCTAGTGAAAGCGAGTGGAGTGAGGCAGGGGGCGGGAACGGCGGGGGACATTATATGGGCAAGGAAGAGGATGGCAGGTCCAGACGCACATTCCCCCGAGCCCTCCCAGGCATTAGTACTGTACTTGCCCCCCAGTTTGTCAATGGGAGCCTCCAGATGAATGGGCTCATTTGTCCTCAGATGGGGATGAATTTGTCTGTCGGAGCAGGTGAGGAGGAGGGCCTCAGCACAGCAGAACACGACATGAATGAGAGCCGAACACTACCTGTCCCAGGTGAACATCCTGAATGCGCCCTGTCCCAGGTGAGAGGAGACTGACCTCATTTTCAGGGTGAGTCCAGGGAGGGGTGCTCTACGTGTCCACACCCTGCTTCGGACAGCTACTTTTTGAGCAGATTACACACTCGACTGCTGCAGAAAAGAAGGCGTGAGGTGACCAGAATGGGAAAACGGTCAGATTACTGATGCTAATTCATAACGGTGTCGTGTGCAAACAGAAGAACCAGACACATTAGCAGAGCAGTAACATCTCCCTCAGCAGCGTGGATAGCAAGTGAGATAGTCCTCTGGGACTACAACATCGCAGCCACAAAGACCTGTAACTCTGTACACTAATAAACCTCATTCATTATTAGTACGCTGTACGCAGAAACCTTTTCAAAACCACGAGCTGTGGCAATAAGGTCTATCCAGCCACCCGTGAATGATATGAAACACTTTCCCTGTGTCTTTTCCCCTCTTTCACTTCTCTACTTTCAAAATCACATGCTGGTGAAAAATTCAGAGCGCGACCTTTCTAAGGGTTAGGGGGTTATGGGAGTGTTTTCGAAGGAAGTTGCCATTTTATTTGACATTTACACATTTTTTTATTTTTGACTATTTTAATAAACCATTTTCTTTTTCTTTTTTTTGCCTGCTTGCTTCACATAGGCACCAAAAATGTAAACCATGCATCTCAAGTAAGCCTAAAAATATATTGAACGGTCAGTTTTGTCATTTTGTTAGCTAATGTGTCCGAGCATAGTCTTTTAGAGTTTTATAAAGGAAAAATCATTAACAAATGAACAAAGCCAGTGTTTTTAGTATTGAGTGCTCTTGTACAGGATGTTACCCTGCAGATGAAACCTTGCAGAGAATTACAGTTAAATAGTCCCCCTCGTAATCAATCTCTTTTTCACTGTCTCTGTCGGACCTCTATGGTCTTAATAGGTCCTAATCGTACCACATAAGTATTTCCTGTTTGAACTTCTCACTCCCTGTTTTTTTCACTGCTTTGAAAAGCCATTTCTCGGTCAGGCTTGGTATGCAGCTGTAGCAAGTATAGCAGCATTTCTATGTTGGGCCTGAAGTGAAAACAAAAAAAGACGTGAAGGGCCCTATGGGTCATGCAGGAGACATACAAAATGATGCAATACCAAAAAACCTTTGACTTTTTCTGACTAATTCAAGACATTCGAGAGATATCATCAGTGAGATTTGACAGGTCAGGATGCTGCGGCTGTTGCCTGTCATCAGAGGTCATCCGTGTTTATCTGCTGTCAGCGCTGTCGCTCTCTGAGCGACGGTTATGACTGTCGAAGCTTTGCGGATCACATCATCGTCACGATATACGGTTGATTAATTTTAGAAGTGGTGAGAGCCGTTCAAGCGTCAAATGGTTTATCTGCGCGGTTTCCATAAATAGCGTTCACCAGGTGTTTTACTGAATGCACCCACCTTTTTCCTGTCAGAAGGGTATTTCTATGAATTTCTCTTGATCCATTATTAAAAGAGGAAGTTGATGCGTCGGTCTGATCATCGCACACATCACTGTGGCGCGGTAGCCATTACAGTTTAGAGCTTAGTCAATGCTCCATCGTGACTTAACAAAGTTCTCTTATTGCTCAAGATCGACAAACAAGCATCTCACACAGTGACTGAACTTTACGGCAAATACAAGCAGGAATAAAAGTCCCATGTTTGTATTATCTAAATACTGTCCCGTCTTGCAGCCTTAATATCCTTCTAGGGGTCTGAGGAAGGAGGGATGCTTTTTTAGCTAGACCCAGGCAAAGGTCAACCCCCACTTCAACACACACACTAAGAGACCTGCATCTGAACTGTGCTCCACTTCCTTTCATCTTCTGTGTCTCTCTCTCCCTAACTCAACTTTGCGAGGGGATGGTCGAGATACCTTTTGATTCCGCTAATTCAATTTTATGGAAAAACAAATACACTGGGGGAGTGGGAGACGAGAAAAGAGTGGGAGTTTGTAGGGGGATGGAGAAAGGGGAATATGGAGAGTTGGAGTAGTGAGTGGGTGGCGGTGGTGTTGGGGGGGAGGTTGGTAAGGACAAACGGAAGAGCGGAGGGGAGAAAGACAAGGAGGTAGGGAGTCGAGATGAGTTAAAACATCCAGTTCCAGGTTGAAGTCGTAAACCTCTCCGTGCTCTGATCTAGGTGGCCACCATGTTCACCCCGCCGACGCATCCGAGATCTCTCCTCCTCATCTCCTCTATGGAACGCCACTTTGATAGTGAAGATAAGTAACGTCCTATTTTATGGCTCTTTTTCGTGTCACATAACTCATGATGTGAGTTAGGAGGTGGATGTCCTGTCGAATGTAGCCGTTGGTCTGGTGAGACTCGTGAGTAAACAATTTGGAAAACCCTCACATGACGGAGTCTGTAAAAATGTAACCATGAAGAAAACGGAAAAGTGGTGGCTCATGCTGAAGACCAAAACACAGCCAAGCATTCATTTCAAGAGCATGTCATGTGCCTGCTACCAAATGTCTCGTCAGGCCTCGGAGAGGAAATGTCACCCTGCCTTCCACAAATGCTGCCACGCACCATCCTATGTACATGTCTGTGTGTTCGGATGTGTGTTCAGGCGAGGGCACCGCTGGGAGTCGCTGGTCTGGCAGACTGCTGTATTATTTTTGGGAGGTCTGCTCCTTCCCTCTGGAGGGCCTCATTGAAGAGCGCTGGCTCTCTCCGTCTCCCCCTCTCAGGCTCCGGGAGTCCGGCCAAGCCCGGGCCGAGCAGCCTTGCTGGCTGCAGCAGCACGCAACCCGCTGAAGCTCACGGCCCAGCACCCACAAGCACTGTGGTGCACACGGATGGCTAGACTGCTTATTGGCAGTCAAGCGTTGCATTTTCACTGGTGTTCAGCAAGTGGATCAGGGGGGATCCCACCCCCCTCTCTGAAAACAGACACTCAGACCTGTCTCCATGTGTGTGCAGCCAGTTAGTTTTGCGGGTGCTACGATGTAGCATAAGCTGACGAGGCAGTGCTACACTGGATAACAAAACAGCACCTATATAGGTCCCTGGATAAATATTATTTCTAATTTGATCAACCCCTGGGAAACCCCAGCAGATGAACCTCCACAGCAGTCCAGCAGATGTGAGCAGGGTGGAGAGTTCAGGGAGGGGTAGCTGTCCGCTTTTAGCTTGGACCGTTTTTTTAATGGGATGGTTTGTGTTGTGGGTGTGTGAGGGTATGCTGAACTCAGTGATGATGACCTCCAATTGGCCCCTAATCGAGCACTCATTAGTGGCTGGCTCTGTTCAAAGTTTCTTCAGACCCTTTTTTTTTATTTTACTGTAATCGTCCAAATGGTAGGGTGAGACAGAGAGAGCAATGTGGAGAGAGAAAAATGGAGAGTGAAAGACAAACAGAACAAATGGGAGATCAGAAAGAGAGAAAAAATAAAAGATAAACAAAGGGAAAGAGAACGAAAGAGTACGAGATGAGGGAGTAACAGAGCCTGCTTCCTGGCAGCCTCAGCTGCGTGCACATCTGTGTGAGAAGGGTCTGAGCAGACCCCCACGTGTTTGCTCAGGTCGCCTGATTGCCTTTCCTTCCTCTCTCTCTCTCTCTCTCTCTCTCTCTCTCTCTCTCTCTCTCTCTCTCTCTCTCTCTCTCTCACACTAAAGACCCGCTGTCCTTCCTCTCACTCCAATCATTGTAGCCGAGAGAGAGAGAGAGGGCTACTCCAGCAGACACGGGGAGCGAGGGCGAGGACTGCACTCATGACTCAGTGTTTGTCACATACAAATTCAAAAATAAAAATTGGCTGTTAGAGATGTTTTAAAAAAAGAAAAGTGACCTTGCATGGGTTATATTGGTTAAAAATTGGTGAATTGGGGTTTGTGTTTGTTTTATTCCCCCAGTGTGTGTGTGTGTGTGTGCATGAGCATGTGGGTGTGTGCATATGTATGACTGTGTGTGACTCCGCTGGAGTCTGCTGTCTGGGTACAATGGTCCAGCCCGGGGCCTCAGCTCCACAAAGAGGCCTTCTCTTAACACGCCATCACAGATAGAGGAGGAGCCTGACCAAAGCATTACCACGCTCAAGGGATCACAGAGCTTCCCTTGATGCATCTGATATCCCCTTGTGATTTTAATAATCAAGCACTCTTCATTAAAAGCAGCGTTTAGTCTTATGCCTGTATGTTTTTGTGTAGAAGAATGATGGAGACAGACTGAACTTACGAGGCAGTGACAGATCTTACTTTAGTATTAAACTTTATTTTCCTTTATTTCCTTTACTTTTGTAAGATGGAAAAAAATGATAAAAACGTACAGCTTAGGGACTTTTCATCTAAGATAGGTCAGTGTTTTTCTTTACGTAATAACTATGACATTTAAAGGACCAGTGTGTCGGATTAAGTGGCATCTAGCGGTGAGGTCACAGACTGCCACCAACTGAATACCCCTCCTCCGCCCACGCCTCCTTTTACAAGTGTGTCGGAGCGCTACGGTGACATTTAGGTAAAAAGATGAAAGGCTCACGCTAGAGCCAGTGTTCAGTTTGTCCGTTCTGGGCTACTGTAGAAACATGGCGGACTCCTTGAAGAGGACCTGCTCCCTACGTAGATATAAATGCTTCATTCTTAGCCAAGGAAGAAAATAATGATTCTTACTTTCAGGTAGTTGTACACTAATGAAAACATAGTTATGAATATGATATTCCATTTCGGCCAAATGATCCCCCTGAAATCCTACACACTGGACCTTTTTAAATCATCGGTTTCCATGTGTCTTTGACGAAAGCTTAAAGAGGGAAAATAAATTATCGTAGCAATAATTATAACATCAAATATAACAACAATAATAGCAATTAAGCATTTATAAACACTCTATTTACTGTGTATTTTTTCCATAAAAGTCCATTATTAAAAACAGGTGGTGAGCGATGTGGTGTACAATCCAGCATGTGAGGGGAGCACTGGTTTGTGGGTACTGTAGTCTGCGTCTGACTGGTTCCGTAACAGAGGTGCACGGGTGCTGTCACTGTCAGCCAGTCTCTGGACCTCCAGCACTGATGGGTTTGTCTGTTCACGGCAGTTATGGACGACAGCCTGGGGATGGACAGGGTGCACGTATCTCAGTGTATAATGAGATGAGGCCGTGAGGTGAAAACAGCGGTTCTTTTTAGGACCTCTCGTGAGTCTCCTGTTACAGGGTCATGGAGAGGTGGGTACCAAAGTGACTGAGTAAAAATAAGCAAATAGAATGACAAGCTTCTCCATTCACTCCATTCCTGCAAGCTTCAGTCACCAAGGGACCAAGAAACCCCTCATCATATTAGCTTCTTTACAGAGTCCGCTAAATTCCTGCTTCGCAGCGTCCCATCAGTGAGCTCAGGAATGACGCGACATTCAGTCATCAAGTCCAACTGAAAGTCTCTCCCCTCCAACCGCTGTACATGATGCAACGTAGTCTGCTCAGCTTACGACGTGATGTGGAGGCCATTTAGTGTTAATGGCGACGTGGTGGCTCCTACAAGCGGAGGAGTTTTGGGGCCTGGAAGGGGCCTCAGTGACTCAGGGGCTCAGCCCAGACCGGCGAGCGATTGGAGTGGTGGGGGTGACCGAATGAAGGGTGAATGGGCGTGGGAGTGGGCAGCATGTGTCCCGTGTGGCTGAAGGGGGGCAGGTGACCCATGTGGGTCATGTGGCTGGTGAGGCCGGGTGCTCCGCCGAAGTGGGAAACCTTGTCCTGCATGCACTTCGATAGCTCGTCGAAGCCGTCCCCTGCTCGCTTGTTCCTCTTGGACTTGCTGGACATCTTGCGGTTGCGTGTCTGGATGCCTTCTTTCTTCATGGTCAGGGGTCTGTTGACCTGTGGAGAACCGCACATTAGCTCAGGGCACGCCAGACCAAAGCCTCACTGACAGTGTGAATACTATACATTATAGTGGTGGTTTATTTTGCCGCCCAACTCTGGCTCATAATTTAAAATGTCACCAGAAAATATGTCACATACTGCATTTCCTGTTAGGATTTGCATGCCTTTGTTTCACAGTAGCCCAATATTAAGAAGTACACCATGTGTTAAATAACTGCTATTAATAATGAGCATCTGTTTTGCATATATAGCTGCAAGTCTGGGGCGTTTTTGGGGGCTTTTGTCTAATTTCAAACAGAACAGTCCTGGTCAATATGAATACATGGGGATGAGGGCCTGGCTGGAGCTGAAAGGAGCAGCCTCAGACAAATCCTCATCAGTGTAACCGACGCCGTTACACTGAATGACAGTCCCACCCTGCAGCCTCTCCGGGGAGTAACGCCCCCCATTGAAACAACAACGGATTAATAAAAAAAAAAAGAGGACCGGTGGGTTCTGCTCGACGGGGTGAGCAGGCTTTGCCTCGACACTCTCACAGTTGCTCTGCTCCTAAATCGATACGAGCTGTCCGCCCACTTGACCAGTTAACGACCAGCGGGCCTACCCTTCCTCCTCCTCCC